GCACAGCAAGCTTCCCTGGTTATGGCCATTTTTAAAAAACTCAATCTGCCACGGAGACTCTGCCCCTTCTTTAAGTGCGTAGAGAAGCTAATCATGTGGCACCAACTTGGCAGACCTTAGAATGATTTTTTAAAAACATGGCCTCCCAGACGAGGAGGAACCGGGTGCTCAGTGGTCTCTGGTAAAGGCTCCCTGTGCCCGCGGGACGGGTCTGCCTCTCCAACCTCTGCGGCCTCTGGTGCCCTGCACCCAGGGCCTGAGCCTCCGCCTTTCAGAGCCACCAGGGTGTCCTCCAGCAGCGGGACTTCCCATCAGCCCCTTGGCCCAGGCTGGGCCGGTGCCGTCCAGCCCCCTGTAGTCCTTCGCTCGGGGTCCTGCCTCGGCTGCAGCTCAGGCCGTCGGGGCCTAAAGAAAGGATGCCTGTCGGTTGGGGCAGCTCCCCAGAGTAGAGCCAAGCACTGTCACCTGGAAAAGGTTTGTGGGGGGTTCTGATGCTCAGTGAGGATGGAGGGTCCTCACCGGAACCTCCCCCCTCCCCCCTCCCCCCTCATAATGGTCCCCATGGCACCCCGCGCCCCAGGGACACAAGACGCGGGACTCTGTCTTCGGGGCTGCTGGTCACCCTGGGCTGGCGCCCTGGCTTCCTCCCTCCTCCCTCTTTAACACTCGGACCTCCTGATGCGGACCCCGGACACGTGCCACCTCCCCTTCCCTGACCTGGAGCAGCGCTTGGCTCAACGTCAAAAGGAGAAGTCCCCAGGAGACACCCTCAGACCTGCAGCCAGAGTGGGTCTGCCATTGACAGCACGCGGCCTGGCACCGCGCAGCGTCTGCCACTACCCCAGGGCCTCCTGGGCCGTCTGCGTTAGCATCACTCCTGGGGATGGGACTCCGTCTCCAGATGAGCTTTCCCTCTTAGACACTGTGTCCACCACCACCCACCCAGCAGAGCACCCCTACCTGCCTCACCCACTCACACACCTCCACACCCTGCCCCATCGGCTGAGCAGCCGAGGCCTGTGGGCCATGGATTGTAACTCCTGCCTCCTGCAGGGAGCTGTGACCCCCAGTGCGTGTCGTCCCAGGGACCAGTCGTGGGAAGGCCCCGCTCTGCCCGTGCTGGGCTGTGGGCAGGCACAGGGAAATTGGTGCTGCGCGTGCTAACAGAGATGAGTCATGGCTTCTGGCTGCTCGCCCGATGCCCATGAAAGTGGCGTTTCCTTAAATAGGGCAGGACTTCAGTAACTATTTAAAGAACATGTGGTATTTGGGGATTTTATGGCCCTTAACTAAACTTGAGACAAATTAAGACATTTTAAGAAGTTTTATGACAGGTGCGTGTGTAGATCTGTGTAATTTCTTGGCGCTCACTCCCCGCGCCTCCACCCGCAGTGCATATGCAGGCACCTGAGGGGCCACCTGAAGGCCACAGGCAGGACGGCGGCAGATCTGAAGGGACAGGAGCGGGCGGGTCTGTCCCAGCCAGGTCGCTCTGCAGAGGGCATGCGGTGCCCGCGGCTCCACCAGCCTCCGCTGTGATGCGCGTGGAAAGGACAGCAGATGTCCCTGTGACCCCGGCCGCGGCCGCCTGCCTGTCAGGTCACTCGGTAACACTTCCAGGAGGAAAGACGTGCGCCTCGGGGGAAATGGGGCGGAGTGCCCCCTCCTCTGTGCTGAAAGCTTTTTGAACTTTTGTTCTGGCGCCTGTCATACCCCTTTGTTGTGTCCCCGGATCAGACATAGACTTACCGTGCGCAGCAGTGACCGCAAACCAAGGCAAGCCCTGCATTCCCTAACGAGGAGCTTTCGTTGGACGGCTGTGTCTCTAGCTCTAGTTAACAAGCAGATTGTTTCCCCCGAGAGCTGGGCACCATTGCCTGTGAAGGGTGAGCGGTAGTGGCCTTCCCTGTGGGCACGGTCCCCTCACACGGCCAGCTTTTGGCTTTAAGAATCGTTGACTTAAAGGGGCCGCTGGCTGCCCAGAGCTGTGGGTTCAGGAGCGAGAGCACGTGGGGTGGAGGCGGTCCCGTGGCCCGCCCCTCGCTGACCTGCGGAGCACCAGCCGTCCTCTGCCTGGGGAGAGGCAGTGCTTTTGAGGATAGAAACCCGTCCAACCTGTAAATACACACGGCGGGAAAGGCCCTGGGACAGCCATAGCCAGGACAGGCCATGTGACCTCATGATGCGGTGGCTTTTACAAAGCGGTGAGTGCTCTTCCGTCCTGATTTGCCGTCGCTCACCGTGATGAATGGCGACCGAATGCTCACTGCATTGAGGGCACTTTGCAAGTCTTGTCCTCTCGCAGCACGAATGCTGCTGACCATGTGAACTCTCCACCTTCGGCTCCTGGCTCCCTGCCTGCCTGGCCGCCCCGTGTCCCCGGGAAGCTTGCTGTCCTCTGCAGCCTTCACCTGTGTGGTGCCGAGGGGCTGGGCCTAGGCTCCTTCCTGCTCACGCCACTGTCCCTGGGTGACCTCACCTGGACACTGCTTCAGTCCCCGCGTTTGTACCCCACCACCCCTCCGAGTTCTGGCCCCCAGGGGGTGTCTCAGAGGCACCCAATTGATGGTGCTGCATCAGACGTGCAGCCCCCCCCCCCCCCGCCTGAGTTTTGCGCCGTCCCCATTCCCACGCGCTCCTTCTGCCAGCAGAAGCCACGTCGTCCTTGGCGCCACACGCGCTCTCCCTCTGCTTCAGCCTGAGACCTCCCTGCCCGCCTCACCGGGCCTCTGCGGCTGCCACCCAGCCCTCCTGGCATCCCGTGCCCTCAGCTCAGCCACACGCCCCCTGAAAGCCTCCTGAGGCCGGGTCCACGCCGGCCCACCTGTCGGGCTCTGTCCTACCAGACAGCCCCTCTCGGGTAGCGAGGCCTGAGCGGAGCTGGGGCCAGGGGAGGACTCATCGAGTGGGTGCACGCCCTCCCATGCCCATCCGTCCCCGGGCCCTGCCCACAGGCCCTGTTCCTCCTCTCCTCCCGCCAGGGGAAGGCCTGTCGCTGCTTTCTCTGTGGGCCCTGCCGCTGCTGCCGTTTAAGCCACTTTGCAGCAGGTGGTTGGTGATAGAGCAGGTTTCCTGCCCGTGCGTTTTGAATGAACACCAGCAGCTGGAAGGACTTTCTTCTCCTCAAAAAGCAAACACCATACCCCCCCCCACCCCCCCAGGTGTGGACGCCTGTAGTTCCCTAGTGTTAACGGCTCGGCCTCTCCGTGGGCGGGTCTGTACGCCACTTCCAGGCTGAAGCCGGTCCCGGCAGCACTGGCACCTGGGACGGGGCAGGCAGCACAGAGGAAGCCCGTGCTGGTGCCACCTACACAGAGAGCAGCGAGGGAAGTGCCGCCCTTCCTCGTGGCCCTGCCGTGGGGTCCAGGCTGCAGCGGAGGGGAGGGGCGATGGCGAGGCGAGTGCAGGCCCCTCTGGCTCCATCATCGAGGAAACCAGTTAGGGCCCGGGGACCACTGCTCTGCGCTGGGCTGGGGCTCCCCGTGGGCACGGCCATCCCGGGGGCCGGGGCGCAGGCAGGGGCTTCGCTGGGCACTGGCGGGCTCCTGTGGGACAGTGTCTCTGGCTCCTTAACGCAGGGCTGGGCCTCCCATGCACACACTTGTTTCCGTGAGCCCTGCCGTGTGTCGAGGGGGTGTGGTGGCTATGAAATGAGGGCCCCAGAGAGGAAACCAGGGCACGTTCAGCCGAGGACCGGCTTGTTGTGTGCACACCATCTGTCTGTCGCATGGTGGTAGGAGTCCCATCTCAGCCGGAAGCAGTGAGGGAGGCTTTCCCCACGTCCTCGGCGGCACCTCAGCTCCCAGGGCTGGGTCACTCCCCGGGGCCTCTCGGGACCGGGGGAGGGGGAGGGGCGCTCAGGTCTCACTCAGGCCTGGTGCTTGTTGGCCTGGTGTCTGCTGGGTGGGAGGCGGGTCTGGCCTCCCGAGGGCCGGGGTCCCGGGCAGCCCGCCTGGGTGTGGGCTGAGCTGCTTGGATTCGGAGCCTGGTTGTCAGGTTAAAGTTAGCCCCCTGCCCGGGAAGTCCAGGAGCCATGGTTTCCTCTTTCTCAAGTCGCTCCTCATGCTTTGCAAGTGGCAGCGCTGCTCCGACTGAGGGCTCCAGGCTGGGCGCGTCTGTCTGGAGGAAGCTGGGCCAGGCTGGGGTTTCCACAGCTGGGAGCTGGGCGCAGCGGTTTCCTCTCGTGCAGGAGCCGGGCCGGGAGGCACGGTGAGGCCAGGCACGTAGGCGGCTCTGCCAGAGACGCCTGCCCTTCAGGAGCTGGAGCAGGGCCCCGCGGCAGGAAGCGGGGATTTGTTTTCCTTCAGCAGCAAACGTGACCTTGGGGGTGAGGCTGGGAACTCAGCGTGTGCTGCCTGCCTGGCAGCGCGGGGCGCACCACCGAGAGCCCCTTGCCCCTGCTGCCCGCTGCCCTGGCTCTCTTGTTAGGGGCCAGACGGGATGAGGAAAGCGGTCAGGCTGGGGACTTAGGCCGAGTTTCAGTCATCACCGGATCCGCTGTGTCACCCGGGCCTCTCGCCCAACCTCCCAAGCGCCCCTGGGTGCGTGTGAGAATCACATGGCACACCCCTATAGGGTGCTCGGGACACGGTTCCCATCCCTGTCCCCGCTGCTGCAGCCCAGCACCTTGGACAGGTCACTTCCCTGGACAGGCTCCCCCCTGCTGGCTGCTTCCTGGGACTGAGATGGGGTGGAAGTGCAGGCTGGCTCGGACCCTCTCCTCCCAGTGCCCGCGAGGCTGCAGGGCTGTGGGACGTGCACCCAGGTTCCTCCAGGTGGGGAGGGCGGCTCCAATGTTTGCACCGATGGCAGCGACCTGCGGGTGGGGGTGGGGGGCGTGGAGGAAAGAGCCAGTCACGGACCCAGCCAGGCCTTGGGCGCGGCCCAGCCCGTGCTTGCTCCAGAGGCCTGCCATGTGGCGTCCCAGACTCCTCCACCTCCTCAGCATTCTCCCGAGAAGACCAGCGTGTTGCTTATGTGTTTTCCTTCTTCTCCTGCAGAATATCGACATCACAAACTTCAGCAGCAGCTGGAACGACGGGCTGGCCTTCTGTGCCCTCCTGCACACGTACCTCCCAGCCCACATTCCATACCAGGAGCTCAACAGCCAAGACAAGGTGAGGCCGGCTGCGGATTGGCAGCCCCGGCGTCCTCATCATCCAGGGAGCCCGGCGGGGGGGGGGCGGGGGGAGCCAGAGCCTCCCATCGATGGACCACGCGGGGGCTGCCACACCACAGCGCGGCCCTGGTGGCCGGCCCGTGCTCTCATTCTGGCCCTAGAGCATCTGTGCTGAGCCAGCCGCACCCTCGGGCGGGCGTTTGCGGGTAATGACTTCCCCGGCGGAGCCGCCTGCCCTTCCCGGGGCGACATGTAAGATCAAGGGCTTCACGAGAACTGGCGGAGGGAGGTGCCCAAGGTGTGAGCAGCACCCACGTCCCAGCCCGTCTCCGCCCCTCCAGGCCCAGGACGGCTGAAGCCCAGCCGCACGGACCAGGCTGTGGTCTGAGCGTCCGTCAGGCAGCTGCATGGGGACAGCTCTCCTCCGGCCCCTGCGCACCCCACCTTCAGCCCCTCATGCCCTTCAGACAGCCTTGAAGTTCCCACAGGGAGGAAACTCTCAACGGGCTTATTTCTGTTCAGCGTTTGGGGCTCCGGTGGCCGAGGGCTGATGGTGGGAGTGACCTTTTCTGTAGTGAAGAAGGTACACGTGTCTGGCCGGGCCTGTGAGGGGCGCTCAGCACATTGCTGGCCCCGCGTCCAGCGGGGCCCTGAGGACTCGCCTGTATGTGCTTTGGTGGCACGTGGAGGCCCGGCTGCCCCAGCGCACGTGGTGCAGACCCTCACACAGTCTCTTTTGCAGCGAAGGAACTTCACCCTGGCCTTCCAGGCGGCGGAGAGTGTCGGCATCAAGTCCACCCTGGTGAGCACACACCTCCCCTCCCCGCCCCCAGTCCTGCCGGGGCTCCTTCCTGTGAGGAAGCGCTCGCTCCTCGTGAAGGGAGATGCCTGTGGGCGCCGCGTCCCGGGCCCTTGGTAGAAATGGAGCAGGCGTCCAGCCTCTGAGGGGTGATGGGCTTAGACCAGAGGCCCCCGAGGCCCTGCCCAGCCCGAGAGCCTTGAGGCTGTGACGGGCCGGGAGGTGCCAGGGAGCTCTAACCAGGCCTTCCCTTCTCTGCCAGGACATTAATGAGATGGTGCGAACCGAGCGGCCCGATTGGCAGAACGTGATGCTGTACGTGACGGCGATCTACAAGTACTTCGAGACCTGAGCACACCCGACGGCCCCCGGCTACAGGCGCCACCAGCACCATGAGCTACGCCCCATGAAGCTTTCAGCAACTCCAGGCGGCCCCAGCGTGCGAGCCTGCAGCCCAGGCCTCCAGGCGGGAGAACTCGGGCCTGGGTGGCCGGACTCCAAGCAGGCTCCTCCCCTTGACCCGTCCTGTCAGCGGTCAGCGTGGGCTCACACCACGCATGCCAGGCGGCTGCTGAGCTTCCTCGGAAGAGAACGCTGAGCTGTGAGGCTGCGGCGTGTAAACCAAGGCGCGTGCACAGCTGCACGGGGAGGGCAGCTCCGGGGTAGGGGAAGCTTCCGCCAGCTCTGCCCCCGGGGCAGCTTCCTGCTCCGGCACCGAGTGGGCCCCGCTTGACGTGGGTGTCGCCCAGCAGCGGGGCGCAGGGCTGTCCCGCCGGCGCCATGTAGTTCTCAGACGGAGCCGGCGGTGACAAAGTCGGGCTCCCCCGCCCTCTGCTGCCGCCGGTCCTCCAACACGGGAGACAACCGCTCCTCCGGCCTTGAAGGGGCGTGGAAACTCAGCTGTGACTTAAAAGACCTGATCGTAAGGAATTCTCTAGTTAAAAAATGTGGTTTTTTTCTCATGAGCAATATCGAGGGAAAGTAGCTCCTGTTGTATTAGCACCAAAGTTAACTGGTTTCCTGAGCCTGGAGATGAAGCACAAACTGGACGTCGGTGTGGCGACAGCGGACGAAGGTGGAAGCGGCAGGAGAAAACACGGAGCGGCTCGCAGGGGCCCAGGCGGCCGAAGGCGGTCACTCAGCGCTGCCTGCGTGCGGCCTCCTGGGCGGGAACGGGAGGAAGTGCCTTAACTCCTGCGAGGGGAGCCGCCGCCCGGAGGCCCGGGCCCTGGCCACAGGCGGCCTCTCAACCGCCCTTCTGCAGTTTGAACCAAAGCCTTGCTCCCCCAGGCGTTCTGTCTTGTTGGCGCGACTCGGGGGGGACTCGATCCTTCTTGGGACGGGGAGCCCAGGTCTCGCGGGCGCGGGCGCAGGAGCTGGAGTTGGATGCACCTGTTAGCACCTGGGAAGTCGCAGGGGAAGCAGGCTCGCTGCCCCAGCCACGCTGCCAGGAGGGGCCGCGGAAGGCCACCCGCCGGCCAGAGGGGGCCGGGTCTGCATTCGAGCCCGCTCTCGACCAGGACCTGGGCGTGTCTGTAGCCGAGAAGAGAGAGATGGTGACGGAGCAGCTGGGTGTGTGTGCGGCTCGCTGGCTGGGTCACGTTGGCTGTGAGTCTCCTGCCCTGGCTGCTTGGCTGCTGCCTGGGGGGCTTTCTGTAAGACGCCCCCGTTGGGCTAAGAAAAGAGAAGCCGGGGCGCAGAGCCCAGCCCCGCGGACACGCAGCCCTGAGTGGGCGCTTCCTGCCCGTCCTCCCGCCGGTGCTGCTCCTGGTGGCTCTGTGGACAGGTGCTGCCGCGGGGTCTTCACTGCCCACCTGGGTCCTCCCCTTCCCTCACGGGCCTGTGGGCACCCGGGTCCGACTGCAGCCTGCGCGTTGTTATTCATGACGGGGGAGCCTCTAGTCCAGTGAAAAGAGGAGACTTTCTTGGTCTGCAGTTCACACCTGCCCTTCCAGCCGGGTGAGCCGGCCCTGGCAGCTCAGGCAGCCGGGGTCTGCATGTCTTTGGGGGACGGCAGCGCCTGCTGATGGGCTGTGCCCACATGGCCGGCCGCATCCAGGTCATGCCCTGGGGCCAGTGGCAGGGCAGAGGGTGGCCAAGAGGAGGGTTGGCCCCAGGCCCGCCTGTCTGGGGGTCCACCGTCTCCCTGACAACAGGCCATGCAGGGGCACCTGGCTGGGCTGCCCACACCTGCATGTGGGTCTGCAGAAGATTCCAGAAGCGTGACTTCGTGCTTTTTTCCAATAGGATCCTATCACAGAGTGGTTCTGGGTGGTCACACGCCTAAGCGTGACCCCCAGGTGCCGTAGCCCAGCGGCACGTCACAAGAAGCTTCCAGAAAGTCGTTTGCCTCGGTTCCTTCCGAGCATGAGCATCCCTGCGAAAGGGCCAGGGCTTCCGCTGGCGATGCTTTTACTTTGTTGTATTAAATGCTCTTAAATGTATTAAAGTTGTTGAAACACGTCAGGCTGGGCTTTCCTAGTTCACAACCTCCTGCTGCCCTCTGACCTCGAGTGGGAGGGACCCCGGCCGCCTCCTGGGACTGGCTGAGGGGGGACCTGGGAGAAGCCGGGGCAGGTCGCACCCTGGGCTGCGCTGCACAGCCACGGCCTTGGCCGATGCCCAGGCCCAAGGTGGGGTCTGGCCCAGGTGAGTCGGGTCCTGAGACCCCAGGGGCACCAAGCTGTCCTGTAAGATGGGGGCCCCGGCCTCAGAGAGAAACCTAGAGATGGACGATTATACCCCCAGAGGCACCCAACCAGTCAGGCCTTTTTCTCCTGCATCTTGCGTGGAATGATTACGGATCCGGGAGTACAGCCGGGAACGGCACCGCATCTCGTCGCGTTGCACATGTCACATGTCACACGCACGTGTGAGCCGCCTCCCGCACTGCACGGTGACCCGGGGCGCCCTTCCTGGGCCTGCACCCCCTCCCCAGAGTCGGGGGTCCATCCGGAGGCCCAAACCCCACCACCTGAGTTAGGGGGTGACAGTGCTGTTGAGCCCCCAGGTGGCCTGACTCCAGAACATAGCGCCCCCATCCTTGGGTTGGGGGCTGGGAGTGGGGGCACCGAGCCAGGACCGCGGGGGCTCTGGCTCCTCGCTACCTCCCGGGCCAGGCTGTGGCTGCGACCAGGAGCTCGTGTGCACTTGGTGTGTGCGGCCATCCTGCTGGCCCCGCACGGAGTGGACCCTGGTGGCAGCGGCAGAGGGGACCTCGCCTGCACCCGGGCAGTGGCGGCAGCACTGGCTGGCGTAGCTGATGCCCCTCGGGTGGGGGTGCCCCCCCAAACACCTTTCCTGCTGTCCGGCCGCTGCCTCAGGAGCAGACTGGGGGGTCCTGTCGGGTGACTTCCTGGCCTCAGAGGCAGTGGTGCCCTCGGGCGACAGGTCACCTGGCTCCCAGCAGAGCCTACCCAGGGCTCCACTTCCTTCAACTTGACACTCTGCCTGCCCCAGGGCAGCACTTGTGGGAAGGGAATCCTTTTAACCTTGACTTAGGGAAGGTTCTAGAACCTTTTGGGGCCATGGCTTTGGTGTGTAAAAGCAGGAAGGCATTCCTCAGGGCGGAGAGAGATCCAGAAAGGACCCCACACCCTGTCCATCGCCTCGGACTGGGCGAGCGCTGTGTCCTGGTGGCACACAGCCAGCTCTGACCCCGGCCTCACCCGCCAGCCACACAGGTCTGCCACCAACACCGGTGACAGGTCAGGGCTGTTCCCACCTCTGCAATAGGGGAACCCCGAGAAGGGGTCCTCTGCTGGACTCTGCTCCCAGCACCCTGCTCTCTGAAGTGGATGGGGTGGGGCTTGGGGTAGGGGTGCAGGGGGCTGGGGCCTGGGGGTGGCGGCTGCTGCCAGTGGTGTCGGGGCTCCTGCTCAGGGCCACCCTTCGGGTGTTGAGTACAGGCCCCAGCACGCACAGGGCTGTCCCTGCCCCCCACACAGCCCAGGCTAGGCCACGCCCCTGCCCTCAGTCTCCCATCTCCACGGATGGATGCGCCCGACTGGCCCTGGGGCTCGGGGTTCCTAGTGGGGCTGCTGTTTGAGCCCCGAGGCCAGGATGGGCTGGAGCATCTTCCCTGGACGGGGCTGGGGGGGCGGGGCTGGGGGTGGCCTTGCTCCTGAGGCTGGGGCGCTGGGGAGCATCTCAGGGGTGAGTCGCCTTCTCAGGGCTGCCTTAGTCTGGACAGCCCCCCCCCCCCGCGAGCCCCCCACTTCCTCAATCCTGGAGCCCCAGGAAGTGCTCGGGGCCCCTCCCCTTTGGAGAAGTTGGTCAGCACCCACCCGCGCTTGGTCCTGGGTCTGGCATTTCTTTCTCCCTGAGGCGGCCCAGCTGGCCCTGCAGCAAACAATCCGGGGCCAGAGGCCACCCAGGTGCATCCTGGCCAGGAACAAAGGCCCCGGTGGGGAGGGGGCGGGGAGCCCAGCTGGCCCCGCCTGGCCCCAGGGGCCTGGCCTGGGCGGAAGGGCGGGTGCCCACAGCCTTCAGAGCCTGGGCTGGGGCCGGGCAGGGGCATCCCGTGCCCACTGAGGGGCAGCAGGCCTGTGTCCCCACCATCAGGGCTCCCTCACGCCTGGAAGGCTGGCCCAGGCGAAGACCCCTGCACAGGGGACTCTGTCCGCCTCTCGGGACGGGGCACAGGGCTGGCGAGAGCGCAGCAAGACCAAGGTCGAGGAAATGACCTCAAGGCTCCGTGCCAGGGTGCGGCCTCTCAGGCTCGGGGGGGCGCAGCCGCAGGGGGTCCCCCAGGAGAGCCCGGAGCAGATGTGGGTCGACCGTGCACACGTCCACGTGTGTCTGCTTCCTGGCACCGCTGAGCCGGAGGGTCCCTGGGCAATGGCTACACCGGAGGCCTGGACCAGGCGCGTGACGGACAACACAGGACCGTGGGGGCAGCCCCTTCCCTGACCGGCCCTGCTGTGGGGAGGGGCCTGGCTCTCCCTCCCGGGGACACGGGTTCTGGGGCCGCTCTGGCGTGAGGACACAGCTACCCCAGGCCTGGGGACCCCACACCGATGTGGGGGGCTGTCTGCTGGGCCCCAGGGGGGAACTCTGAGGGCTTCGGCACTCTGGCCCCGAGGGTGGGGAATGGCCAATGCGGGGCAGGTGTGGCCTGGCCACACGCGAGGTGGTCTGGGTGGGAAGGGCACTGGGCCCCAGAATGAAAATGGCGGGGAGAGCATCATTGGGCCCATGTGGGAGGGGGGGTGAGGGACAAGAGTGACCCTGAGGTTGGCTGGGTCTCTGCCCCATGAGCCCCCAAAGCCCCTTCTGGGCCCAGGTGACGCGACACCCTGCGCCTCGCCTGCTTGTTGAGTTAGGACTTGAATGACTATGGGCCCAATCGGGGGGCAGGGGGGC